GAAATAAATCACACGGTCCCAGCAGTGGAGGCGTGTTTAGGTTAGTTGATGCAGCTATAAAGTGAGGGAATGCTGGGTAAAAGTGTTACCTGTGTCCATAGTCGTGGTGGTACAGTCCTGGTGATGGCTGTCCAGCCTCTGTTTGTTTTCAGAGTGCTTTTAAAAAAGATTGTGTGGTGAAACATTGGGTTATTGATACCCCAGCTGCATGCCTCAGAGAGAAAAAGGCTCCACCCAATAGTGAACCCTGTGACCTGAGGGTGATGAAAAACGAGAGACCCCCCCAACCCATCTCTCTCTCTCTCACACACACACACACACACACACACATATATGCATTGACATATTTGTTTTCCTCTAATCCTGGGTGAATTATTGTGTCTTAATTTTATGACAGCTTTTTACATTCATATTATATCACAAATAATGAGAAATAACATGTTTGGATAAACAATAATGCTCATATAGACATTATTCAGCATGGTAAACAAACACAAAATTGGATAAATGGCATAAATCTGCAAATGTTTTAACTCGCAAGCAAACAAACCCAATAAATCATTAAGCTCAAGTCGTGCTAACAAGACTAATGAGCATCTATGATATGAAATGGTGCACATTTCCAAAATAATGTTTTCAAGTGATTATATATGTTAGCAAAACTTTAGACAATCTGACAGACGGGAAGAAAGAAATCTGCAATTCTCTCATGCCTCAGTGCCACTCTCGCCCCGGATCTTTTCACATTTCTGATTAGCAGACACATTTTATCACTCTGCAGACAACTCAATTTTCATTTTGGGAGGGGAGAAGGAAAGGGTGACAGCCCAGGGCCTTTAAGGCGGCTCGGGGACCCCGGTGAGCCCAGCGCTGAAGCTGATAATTAGACTTCCCTGAACCACAGGTCAAAGAGACAGAATTATTTGGCCTGTAGACAGCAATTTCCTCAAGCCACACGAGATGAGATATCACAAGCTGTTATACATGTGCACCAGGAAGCCTCGAGAGTGGGGTCAGAGTCAATCCTATTCCCTACAGAAATTCATATATTGAAAGGGCAACTAACTAGGGACCATGATCATTTAATTTGACTTCTTTCAGGGGACCGCCTGCCTCAGCCGGCAATTTCGAGGACAGCTTTTACATACCCTGATAATAATACCCAGGGTTTTTTGTCTGGAGAAGAGAGCTCTTCATCAGGGTTGGTGGTCATGTCGATTAAACGTATCAAAAGTGACAGAATATAATGAAAAGGTTGCTGTCCCCGGTGTAAACTCTATCACTATCAAAAAAATAAAATAAATAGAATCTGGGGACTTTTCAGAGTTGCGTAAGAGTGTGGGATCAGGAATGCATTACACTTCCTCAGAAATATTCGAGACGAACATTCATATGCTCCCATCAAACATTGTTTCATAAATGCCTGCCTTTCCACCCTCTCTGTAACTGTGAAGACTACTATTTACACATATTCCTGTTCCTATGCTCTTAAAAATAAAGGGTCCAAGAGGTTGTTTGCAGTGATGCCATAGAAGAACAATTCTGGGTTCTCTAATAAACCTCTTAGTGAGCAGTTCTTAAAACAACCATTTTGTTCTTAACTTGAAGAACATTTTAATAATCTAAAGAAACTTTTTCCTCTATAAATCACCTTCACTCTTAAAAATAAGAGTTATTTGCTGGCATTAATGGTTCTATGAAGAACCTTGAACATTTATGGAAACTTTCAAATGCAGAAAATGTTCTTTATAGTCAAAAAAGGTTCTTTAGATTTTTTAAATGTTCTTCAAAATGGTTCTTTTAGGAATTGTTCACTGAAAGGTTCTTTGGGGAACCAAAAATGGTTCTTCCATGGAATCACTGCAAAAACACCCTTCTGGAACCTTTATTTTTAAGTTTGTTCCACGGATGTTAAAGGTTCTTCATGGAACCACAGATCCCAATAATGAATCTTTTATAATAACAAAACTATGTGCCATTTACGTGTTGTGAGCTGAATTCCAGACATAATTGGAACTGCCTGTGAAAAACAAGAAAACAGGTTTTTCCTCAATTGGCAAATGGAGCAATTTGTATGTAGACTCCAAGTTAGTCTGTGCCTGTGCAATAATATCCAATGTTACATTTCATACAGAGTGTGATACAGTCTCACACCTGCTTCACAAAGTACAACAATGAACAGCTGAGTTGAAAGGAGAGAAAGTCGTGGCAGATTCTTCAAGATAGCCTTTAGTGAAATGCTGGTTTTTGTGAGACAGAGGCTGTTGCAGTGGCTGGGAAGGAAAACATGGGGACAGCTGTATAATTATACTATTTTTACTGTCGGGAGCTCGGTATGTGAGAGGAGAATTAGCATCACACCTGTGCATAATTGGCTAAATTAGCTTGCATAATGCAAACTCTGAGAAGCATTGGACACTGGGGGAGGAAGTGCTACGTCGAAAATTGAGGGAGTTGTTTGGACTCCCTCTGGAATTTAGTGAAGAGAGGAAAAGCATGGCCTGTAATCTTATATCTCAAGTCAAAAGAGCATTCAAGGACCCCCTCGCAAGTGTTGTCAAACAATAGGCAAGTCAAGACCTTGATCTGGGTCTCCTGGATCTGCCCAGGCAGGAGAAACAGACATGCAGCCCAGCACTTATTTGTTTTAATCCACTCCAGTGAGTCTATGAATAAGTTGTGACTGCCAGCCAGGGCAGCGCAGGTTAGTTTATGATGCATCCAGTGACTGAATGCGGATTCTGTGCGCACTTGCTGGAGTGGTAGAGAAATCTCGAAAAACAGTATTCCCTCAAGGGCACCAGATGTATTAATCAGCTCTTATTACAGAGGCCACTGAGTTAGTAGACTCACACTACAGTATAAATGCAGTGTTTTCCATTATAATACACAAGACAGCATCCTGACATACTGTAACACTGTACAGCAGAAGCTATTTAAAAATTCAGCAAAATCCCACATATCTGTAACTGTAATCACTAATATTTCACAATAATTTATAGCATGTCTGAAAAAGTAAAAAAAAAAAGTACAATTTAAAAAAATGTTGTAGAAAGAAGATGGTAAACATAAATTAAGGCAAAAGTAATAACAATTAATTAATAATTGCTTATTGTTACAAATCAAGATGCTAAATATTACATATTGGCACACACTACTAAAAGTGGGAAAGCTTTAAGAAAATGTGCGCAATTAATATTTGTGATCCTAGACCGCAAAACCAGTCATAAGTCGCATGGGTATATTTGTAGCAATAGCCAACAATACATTGTATGGGTCAAAATTATTGATTTTTCTTTTATGACAAAAATCATTAGGATATTAAGTAAAGATCATGTTCCATGAAGATATTTTGTAAATTTTCTACCGTAAATATATCAAAACTTAATTTTTGATTAGTAATATGCATTGCTAAGAACTTAATTTGGACAACTTTAAAGGCGATTTTCTCAATATTTAGATTTTTTTGTACCCTCAGATTCCAGATATCAAATAGTTGTATCTCTGCCAAATATTGTAACAAACCCTATGGAAAGCTTATTTATTCAACTTTCAGATGATGTATAAATCTCAATTTTAAAAAAAAGACCCTTATGACTGGTTTTGTGGTCCAGGGTCACATTTAACCTTTTGTCATTTTACTGAAAATATGGTTCTAAAAACTATGCTTTGTTCTGGTGTGGATGTGTCAAATTAGCATACAAATATCATAAGTTGTTCTCCTGAAGATCCATGTCAGATTTGGAAGGGGAGGCAGTTCTCAAGCAGACAGCACTTTGAACTGTTTTGATCTGCTACCACCTACTGGTTAGTGATACTGATGAAGAATCAACTAGGCACATTCTCTTAGCTTTAACCCTTTCAAGGAAAGCAGGCGCTGTGTGAAGCCATCAGTTCTTTTCTCACCTCTCAATTGCATTAGAGTTTGAAGTAAGAGTTTCTCCATCTTGTGAAGATTAGATTGTTGTTTAGGGCAGGAGAGAGGCAGTGCACAGGAGGTGATACTATAACAGTTAGTTTATCCACAAAGCTGTTATTAAAGGTAACAAGTTGCAGAATGAGAATTTAAAAAAAAGACTATTTAGCAACCACTACACAATTAGGTCAAAAGTGGTGGTTACATACAGCATATACAGAAAATATAAAATCACATGGCAAAAAAACTATAAGAAGCATACTATCTTTTGTGAAATGTATAGGGATCTGAGTAGATAAACCCAGTGGCCTTTTCACATACTTATTTCAGAATTGCATATTGCGTACATGTTTTTTCAAACTATTAATACTTCAGTATTTAATCAGTGCACAGAAGTCAATGTTCACTAAGTGAAATGTAATGCTTTACACCAGCTAAACCAAAACATATAGAGCCATTGTATGCACAGTGGTCTATACAGTCAACTTTAATTTGCAAAGGCAGCACAAAAGCTGCTGCATAAACAGTACATTAAACACAAAATGTTGTCTTTGCTTTTACAAACACTGGTCAGTTTTGCAGAGGCAGAATAAATGCATTTACAGGGGAATTACAATAGCAGAAATAAGTATGTAAAATGAATGCTTTAAATGTTACAATTTTGAAAATAGAAACATATTTTAATAAAATATGAAGTTATAAATAAAAATTAAATTATAAATGATTACGTAATTGCACAGTCTAATACAATAATAATAAAATATATTCTGTTCTGCAAAATTTAAGGCAGTAACGTTACTAATATTGCATTCAATGTATACAGATGTTACATTATGTTTTTTTTTATAAATATTACAAACACTTGTTATGGGTACTGTGTAGCCCTAAACGATTGATATGAAATATAAAATATAACGACACAATGTAAAAGTATTACTTACTGTCAATGTGGGACTTCTACCTCATCAAACTTCACATCTTATTTTGTCATAGAATTCGTATGCTTTTATTTTGTAGAATAAACGGAAGTTGCGTGATGCCAGAGCCCCTCCCACAGGAAAATCTCTGTTTTGGTTTGAATTCAACCAACCAAAAGCAAGCAGAGGCGTATTTTCCGTCACAGAGGGAAGTTTGAATTTTATCATGTGATTTACACTCTTATACTAATGACTGTAATGTAATTTTATTAAAAACCCGGCTACCCAAGGACTATGTGTTTTAGCTTACGGAGTGAGAAGACTAGAAAAAGCTCGTGATAAAGTGAGTCTAATGGCAGTTAACGTTACTGAATTTGCCAAGCCAGTAGCAACAGACCGCTAATTCAGAGCTCTTTAAATCGCCATTTTAAAATTTCGATTTTACTTAATCCTGGCTGCGTAATACACAATAATGAAAGCGATGAAAGAGGAGACTACCGAAATGAAACAGATTCACGACGACAAAGACCTCAGTAAGTTGCTTTTCCTACAGGTTTTGTAGCAACGAATTTCTTTGTTGCGACTATACCAATAATCAGATATGTACCTGTATAACTTACCATTTTTACCACAATATCGTCAAATATTTAGTCTGCAGTCTTTGTAAGAGATGTGACAACATTCCAGAGAAGTATGGAGAGAAGATCACCCTTCAGCAGCACAACCTGACAGTCCACTATTTCTGTTTGGTGAGCCAGACGTTGATGATGTGTAACTTGTGTGTGCAACCAATTTCATTTTGAAGTCCCTTTCTAGTTTTCCTGTTAAACATGAGTGTTGTGAACCCCTACCCTAAAGTATAAGGCATCTTATGATGCCATAGATAATACATTATGTTCAGCTGTTCTAGAACATAAGTTGGTTGCAAGGCAAGAGAGATTAACATAGACATAAATAATATCTACTTATTTTTCACAAACTATGTATCTTTATTTCTTATTACTAAAAAACATTTTATGAATTTCTTTTCATTTAAATATTTTACTCCTACCAGACCCCAGTTTGACGATCATAAATCTACCCTAGAATGTCAGATATAGTTGGTTATTTCTACATGTACTGTCAGTCATGAATCTCTTATTGGAATACAGAATTTCACACCTTGAATATTGTCTTTATGCAAGGCTGTTTTCAAACATGGAATCGCTTCTATAGCTTCTAAATGTAGGAAACAGCTTTGTTTTGTAGTATGTACAAATATTGTAAAAGTCTCACCAAAATCATAATTCAAGCATACATGTACAAGTTAGTTATTCTTCAATCTAATTTTACAGCTGATGTCTAGTGGAATATGTCAGAGAGGGGAGGAGGATGAAGACGTTCATGGTTTTCTCGTGGATGACATAAAAAAGGAGATCCGCAGATCGTCGAGGCTGGTAAGTTAAGTATACATTTGACCATTGGCATGTTCTGTTTAATGCTACAGAAATGTTTTTGAGACTAGCTTTTACTTTTTGACTTGCAGAGATGCATGAAGTGCAAAAAGGTTGGTGCTTCGGTGGGGTGCTCCATCAAAAGTTGTCGGCAAATGGTCCACATGCCTTGTGGATTAGAGCAGGAGTTTATTTTCCAGTTCACAGACTTGTTTCCGTAAGTGTCTCTTGTGATATGCAAAATGTGATGGTTGCTGATGGGAGATGAGATAGAAAAGTAAAATCTACAATCCGAATTTTGGTTGGTATGATTAAAGATCCCTCTTATGCTTATCAAGGCTGCATTTATTTGATCAAAAACACAGTTAGAAACAAGAAATGCTGTGAAACATTATTACAATTTAAAATATCTTTTTTTATTTTAATAGATTTTCAAATGTAATTTGTTCTTGTGAGGGCTATGTTTTAATGTTTTCGAAAGCCATTACTCCAGTCTAATATGCTGATTTGGATAACATTTCTTATTATGTTGAAAACTACTGAAGATTTTTGTGGAAACCATGCTAGATTTTTTTTTTCCAGGATTCTTTGATCAATAGAAAGTTAAAAAGAGCAGTGTTTATTTGAAACAGAAGTCTTATTTAACATTTCTAAATGTATTTTCTGTTACTTTTGATCAATTTAATGCATCCTTGCTAAGTAAAAGTATTAATTTCTTTAAAAAAAAATCTTAATACCCTCAAATTTAAATGGTATTGTAATTTCCTGTACATTTCTGGTCATTTAATTTCAATTTAGTGATGATGGCAATCATTTGCAGGTCTTTCTGTAAAAAGCATGCACCTAGTCAGTCCTGCGTCTCCAGCCCCAGTCTGCCACTCTCTTGCTCCGTCTGTCTGGAGCCCATCGACCCCGTCCTCTCCTATAATGTCCTCAAGTGTCCTGCATGTCATGGCAGCTGGTTTCACAGAAACTGTGTACAGGTAATTGTACCACACATTCAGGTTAATGATATAAAAAAAAAAATCTAAAATACAAAGATATGGGATTTGAAATTTGAGCCTGGTTCTTATCTCTTATGTTCCAGCATTATGCACACAGCGCTGCCATGTTTTTCTTCAAATGCACATTGTGCAATAACAAGGACCAGTTTCAGCAGGAAATGCTCAGAATGGGAATATATATACCAGAGCGGTAAATCAAATGTGTTTCCTTCTGATAATTGATTCTAGTGATTCAATGTAAAACATTCTGATTTGTGTAGTGTTTGATTTGTATCCTTCATAGCCTGCTGGAATTATTTAAATTTTTTATGTTTGTTTTTTTACATTTATTTTTAATATAAATTTTTTTGCACATCACTTTGACATGGCAAAACAATGTAAATAGTTTCCACTAAATACTTTTTTGCCCCACTGTATGTTAAAGGAGTAGTTCACCTAAAAATTACATTTTGCTGAAAATTGACTCGCTACCAAAATGTAGTGATGTGATGCTAAATTTCTTCAAACTCATGTAGTTCTTGTATGACCTCAGGTTTAGTACATTTTCAGCAAATTTTCTTTTATGAAAACCTATTCCTTTAATATTTTGTAAGCATCCATATTGTGTATATTTTTCAGGGATGCAGCATGGGAACTTGAGGAGAATGCATATGAAGATTTATTGCAAGTGTACCAGCACTGTGATGCTGTGAAGTGTCACAGTCACAAAGGTCGTAAATACAGCTCACAGTCAGGGTAATTTGAGCATTTTATTTAGTCATTCTGAAATCGTGAAATAGAATCGGTTTGTTTTTGAAAAGGATTCTAATTACTGTTCAAATTTGCTCTGCAGGTATTTTGAAATTGTTCGTTGCAAGTTGTGTGGGTCCAGGGGAACTCATCGAAAATGTTCCAACCTTAAGCTTTACGAAAGCGACTGGATCTGTGCTGACTGTAAAGCTGCTGTTGAGGGAAAAAGTGAGCTATCTGAACTAACTATTGTTTAATATGTGCTTGTTTTGTAAAATTATTCAAAGTTACATACATGGATTTTTTTCTCCCCCAGAGTCAGTGCCTTTGCCAAACCATGTTGAATCCCCACTGGCTGTAAGGCAAGAGAGGAAGAGGCTGTTTAAAAACATCTCTGACCTTCACTCTTCACTCATCAGTAAAAGGTACTTTCCTAATCAATTGCATCTGATATGAGAAGGATATGTTCTAGATTATTTATATAATATATAATATATATATATATATTAGTGCTGTCAAATGATTAATCGCGATTAATCACATCCAAAATAAAAGTTCTTGTTTACATAGTATATGTGTGTGTACTGTGTATATTTATGATGTGTATATATAAATACACACACATGCATGTACATATTTAAGAAAAATTTTACGTTTATTTATATATTAAATATATTTATATATAATATAAATAT